AAATGTAAGAGAGAACTACCAACCAACTGTGAAAGAGAGGATGTGACAGATGGGTGTGGCAGTAGGGGGCCATAAAAATTATGGTCTGTTTGAGCAATAGTGATTTTATAGAGCATTTTACATTTAATTTGAGGATAAAATAGTGATGATAACATGCTAAGACAAAATTTGTCATGGGTGTTACACTAGTGGAAATTCAGGATTTTTTTATATTATTCCTTTTAGAATTAAGAACTTAAAACTTGTATGCTATTAAGATATGGATTATTAGCCAAGATATTATGCTATTCAAATTGGTGTAACATAAACTAAAATTAGTTTAATAAAATTTTGAATATAAGACACTAAAACCTTGTGTCATGCACAGTAAAGGGTACCCGTGCCAATAGGGTTAACGTGTTCTTTTCTTAAGTATCTTTCAATTCAATAGAATGACCCAAAGTACACAATATCCATATGAACGTGCAGATTATAATGAAAAACACAGCTAGTAACAATAAAGATTCTACAATAAACATACATAAAATGCATAATTAATAGTTCATGTACAATGTAAAAAAAGAGAACAGCAAAGTTGTGATCAAACTGTTATGAAAGAAAACATGAAATTAAACATGGGGCTAAATATAACACAGATGTATTTCATTAAAGGTTAAAGCTATCACTGTGTACTAATATACTTTTTATAAAGTATTACATATGCGTGTTAAATAAGTGCTTATAACCAGATTTTATAGTAAATATATGTTTTTTCAAGGAAACTTTCTTAAGTTCCTTTCAATAGTGCATAATATAAACAACAGTTTATTTTAAAGCTGCTATTAATAATATTGTTTACATGAAACACTGCATGTGTGATCTACACTAATTTATACAAGCTAAAACTACAATACATGTGTATTACCTACACTGGTTTGTACAAGTTAAAACTACATATATGTATTGTCTACACTGGTTTATACAAGTTAAAACTACAATACACTTTATGTTACTACTATTGACTGCATACAACTACAAGAGTTATCCACAGTAATATATATACCTTACAACTGTTATTTACAATACATTATACAAAAAGTGTTACCTAAATTGCATTTTACTTTTAAAATGTTATCTAAAATACAGTTCATCTTAAGTGTTTTACATTAAACATTTTCTGAAAATCATCATCTAAAATACAGGTTACAAAAGACTATTTTCACCACCACCAGTTTAAATTATAGATGTTATCTACACTAAACTTCACAATAAAAGGTTAATAAAAATTATAAGACATCACCAGTTCAATTGTTATGTTAAGTTTACATAAAAATTAAATGATTATGTGAAAGTTACATGTATTAACTAAAACTAGGGTTATATAAGGGTTTCAGACACAGCATATTTACTAATACATCTTCATGCAAGATGTCAAAGCTGACTTACAACATGGGGAAGAAGTAATGGCTCTATTAATTACTTAATGATGGGATATCATGCTGACAGAACCAGTTATTATGTCAAACTTACTGTCCAGGAAGAGAAATGGGTTCTCAATTTGTAGTTAACAATGAGACACAGTGTTGATTTGGTTTTGTTAGCTGAGACAGTAGCGAACATTACATGGCATACAAAGTAGAAAGACTGGTTTTCAATTTTTAGTTGACAATGGTATGATAAGCTGCTGAATTTTGTTTCCCGAGTCAGAAATCAATGTCAGTTGATTTTTATCTTGTTAAAAAAAAAAGGTTTTTAATTTGCAGTTAATAACAGATGTAGAGTTAACGGGCTTTACATGTTAGGAGAGTAGACACTATTGGCTGACTTGCAACTTGGGGTTGGGGAGAGCAACTAATACAACATTAACAGCTATAATGGAATGTTACAATGTCTTTATTGGAAGAGCAGCTAATTTAGCTGATATACATGTCAGGAAGAAGGATTAGTTTCCTACTGTAATTAATAGTGTGATGTCATGATGACACATACTGAATTAACAAACACTATCAGCTGACTTAAAACTTGAAGGGAAAGACTGGTTGGCTATTATTAATTAATTGAGAGATGTTATGATGACATAGATTATCTAAGCAAAAAAAAAAAATCAGCTGACTTACAACTTGTGAAGAAAGACTGGTTTTCTAGTATTAATTAACAATGGAGTTTCATGCTCACATATGCTGGGTAAGTAGGCAAAATTTGCCAACTTAAAATTTGTGGAAAAGGACTGGTTCTTTATTATTAATTAATAATTGGATGCAGTGCTTGGTAAACAACCAATACCAGATTTACAAAGGACTAGCCAAAATAAAAAAAAATTCATTCCAAACTACTGGGGTTTCATTTAACTTGCCAACATACCTTTTGCCACCATTTTCCTGACAGATGCTACAGTAAATAAAAGAAATTCTCAACATGACATATGCAAATATAAAAAGAAGTGTACAAAGAATAGATTTTTCAGATTTCTTTGGTGACTAATAGAACTTTACTATAAGCTCAGAAAGAAATTCAATGAAAAAGACTTTTCTACATGCAAATTTTTCTTGTTTTGAAACAAGCTCATGTGCAAGTAAAGCTTAAGGACAAAGTTGAAAATCTTTAGTGATACAAATAAGAAATGAACCAAAATTTTATATATAACATTAAATCATAGTCAGTCATATGACCAGAATAGTATTATGTAAATTTTTTAAATCAGATTATCTATCAAGAAAGTTAATTTTTACATTATTGCAAACAGGCTGTGTATCTATTATAATGTAATATAAATCCTAACAAATCCTAACATTAAAAAATAATTTGGAAAGTAAGTGTGAAATAATAATAATACAAAACAAAAATGCTCTCAGTTCTAAATAATTGTTATAGTGTGAATGCCTTTTCCAAATTAGCAAAGCATGATTATAATTAATTATACTTGTCATGAGGCATTAGTACTAGACCTATTATATTTTTAAAGCTGCATTTTTTGTCTAGTCCTTTAGGGATTTTCAAGAATTAGGAGAGTGTATAATAGTAGTATTCCAACCTCACTGTCTTTGCCACATCCATTGCCCGACAATGTGGTTTTTTGACCATTACAGTATTAGTTGTATCCCAGTCATCTTGATAAGCTCTGGATTGAGTGAAATGCATCATCAGTAATGGATATGGTAAAAATAGTGTAATTAAAATACTGTTATTACACACTCTTCTAATTTGTTTTAAATCACTAAGGGATGAGATAAAGGATGCAATGTTTTATGACAGGTATAATAAATCAAAAATGTGCTCATGATAAGTATTTACACTACACATGTACATTTGCAAAAAATATACTGTACATCAAACAACTCATCTTATGTGACACTAAATAAATTAGTAATAAAATTCAGAAAATCAAGAGTATTCATCATAAAATCTAATAACCAAAGAATAAACCTATTATAAATAATTTTCCAGAAAAATGCAATGCCTCAGTGTTAATCATTTGACGATTTTGGAATCAACATTTGCCGTCTCTAGCTTGTCCAGAATCTGGATTAAATAGAGAATGTATTTGGATTATCCTGAGTTTCGATCAAAAAAGTCATATTTGGTTTATCCAGAGATCCAAAGATTGAATTAAATATCGTCTATGGTTTTTCCAGAGTTTACATTAACTATGTCATATCTGGTTTGTTCAGTAAATAGAATAAAATGTGTAATCTATTTTACCCAGAATTTTTACAAACCATTTCTGTTCTTTCTGTTCTACGTCATATCTGGTTTGTTCAGTAAATAGAATAAAATGTGTAATCTATTTTACCCAGAATTTTTACAAACCATTTCTGTTCTTTTCAGATCCTGAAATGAATGTGACATATTTTTGTCCAGAGTTTGTACTCCGACATCTCTGGTTTATCCAGAGATCCAAAGATTGAATTAAATATCGTCTATGGTTTTTCCAGAGTTTACATTAACTATGTCATATCTGGTTTGTTCAGTAAATAGAATAAAATGTGTAATCTATTTTACCCAGAATTTTTACAAACCATTTCTGTTCTTTTCAGATCCTGAAATGAATGTGACATATTTTTGTCCAGAGTTTGTACTCCGACATCTCTGGTTTATCCACAATTTAAGTAAAATGTATTATCTCTGGCTTATCCAAAGCCTGTTTAAGTATGTCACTTTTAGTTTGTCATGATTTGAACTAAAATGTGTCATCTCTAGTTGTTTCTTCCCTAGGGCTGGAAGTAAAAACACACAAAGGAAACTTTTATACTAACACAGCAACTGGAACTAAATATATACTTAGAGAAAACTACATTAACAACAGATATCTGTCACACAAATAACTAAATACTATCTATACTAACATAAATCACTTATGAGTAACCTTGTCATCATAATATCATTTATAAATGTTCAACCAAAAGTTATATATATATATATATATATATACTTTTATTGATATAAAGGTTATTATTATTAATTTTTCTCAAGACATTGATCAAAATTATCAGTTCAAATCAAAGCTTTTCATTTCTTAGGTAGAAGAATGGTTACATTAAATCAGACATATTTTCTCTTTCCTCAGCACTAACTACAAATTACTCACATTTTTATTGTCAGAATCTTACTAACTGCATGTTAACTAATGAATTATGTACTGTTCCAATAACGATGAACAGTGAAACATTAATTTTCTGTACTTCATTTATTCTAAAAGCTATGTAAACTGACCTAAAATGATTTTCATATGCAAAAAATTTCAACATTTACAAAATACAACTGAAATATGTACGATTTAAAATTTGTCTACATATTGACCAATTAACACAATTTTCAAAAAACTGTGCGAGACCCCAATTTTAAGTACTTTTCTTCAGAATTATGATTACACTTTTTTTCTTTTGTCAACATACTTTGATACTGAATATCAGTATTACAGTAAATTTGTTTCTAAACCTTATAATCTTACACATACCTCGTGGCCTTACATGATAGGTATTTGAGACACAATAATACGCCCGACTTTTGATCATTTCACGTAAAAAGCAGAGTAAAATAATAGATGTTTCAGTACAATAACAGATCATGTATACCCATCACTTAAGTTTGTCAGTGGATAAAAAATATGGTCCAGAATTTACCGAGGTCAATCCAATGTCAATAACTGAGTGGCTTCTCTTTACAATGTTTTCCTGACAAGAGTGGAAGACACAACATATCATTGCTGCTGTCTGAATATCGTGAATCTTGATAAAGTGGTTGATACTGAAAATTCAAATATATATGTATACATCAATAAAATGTAAATATTAAATAATAAGAATCTCTGATATTCAATACAAATAACATTTCATCTAAACTAAATCTCCTATAAAAAAAATTTTGAAGTATTTTAATAGTATTTTTACATAAAAGATCATAAAAAAGGAATAAACAAAAAAATTTGCAATATAACAACATATCTTTAAACCCCTCTTTCTGTCCCTTATTTTTAAGCATTTGTTACAAACAGTAGTAGTAGCTTTACCTTTTTTAATTTGTCAACTTCTGATTATTACACAATGGGCTACATTTTCAGTTCTAAAGGAACTCAAAATGAAATTTTGATTACATAATTATTTATCACACAACTTTATTCATGTAGCCTACACTTTTTTTTTCAAGATTACAAACTTGTGGGTCTGTAACAGAATAGATTTTGACCTTTGAAGATTCAGAATAAATTACCTAAGAAAGATTTGAGCCTTTGACAGTACTAGTTTACTGATGATATTACCATAATTACTAGTTCATATCTAATTGAAAGCCCTCATATTTTACAGATAACATATTTAAATGAAATAAAACATTCATATGTAGTTTAGAAATATATTACATGGAACTCTAATCATGTTTTTATACCTTAAGTAAAAAATACACATTATTTATGTACACATACAATACTGATATAGCTACATACTGTAAGCTTACATTGCAAGAGCACACTTTTGTGGACAATTAAAAGAACTGCAACTAAACAAAACAAACCTTTATTTAACAGTCACCATTCCAACTAAGTTAACAATCATATTCTTTTTAACATAATACTGTTGATTAGTTAAACATTCCTGATAAACATAAGAAATAAACAGCAAAACACAGCAGAGTTAAGTAACGCAACAATTCAATCAGAAAAGAAATACAGATTTTTAAGAATACCAAAAGCTACGAGAGAGTGCTATGATCAATCACTTTTTTTTCTGAAATTTTGCCTTGAGGAGGGGAGGAAGAATGGAAAGTTAAACAAGTGCTCCTGTTTCAACATAAAAATTAGTGTTAGCATGTATTTTATGATTTATATTTATCCTACCACAATACTTCCATCTTGTACATTAGGCATTCAGCACATTTTATTGAAGCAAAGCAGCAAGCTAAATGTACTCCCTCTGTGCTCCATCTTGATGGTGTGCATGGATGCAGCTCTTACATATTAGGTTTCAGTGGTGTGTTTTTAAAACAATTTTTGTTTAAGTAATGGGCATTATACAAATCAAAAAATCAATTTTCCCCATGAGTGGCATTAAATGTGTAATTACTATTCAAACATTGTCAAATGATTTCTATAAACAAAAGAAACAAAACTGTGACAATGCTTGAAAGTCACCCAATGAACCTTCAAATACAGCCCTACTAACTTGCATATTGTTTAAAGTTTCATGCTTATTACCTTTTAAAAACTTAATATTGAGATTTGGCAGCAGACTACACTGTACATTATTTAGGCTATAACAGAAATAGGACTTCAGATTATATGTAACAAAAAAGGTAAGCTAACATTTAAGGTGTGCAAAATAAACAATATCATAAACATTCACAAACCATACCACATTCACATATAAGAACAACACTAATAATATATGCAGAATAAACAAGCATCATATACACACACACACACACCATTCATGTTGCCATAATGGCACATATATTAATCTTACAAATGTATAAGCATTAGCACAACTTACAGAGATTGAAGAAGTCGTCGTCCAAAAGGATGTTGGGACCATGGAACTCCATCATCTGGATCACTACTTGGAGACAATTCAGTACTAGCAATTAATGCTGCAAGTTGCCACACCTGGTAGAATATCAAAGCAAATGTTTAACTACCACTAATAAAAAAATAAAAAAACTTCAGTAAAAAATTTATGTTATTGTCTTTTAATAACTTACTTACAAAATATTTCACCAAATAATTTTAAAACTACTGGACTCTTCAATTCACAACCTGGCATACTAAGCAATAGGTCATACCATGCCCTTATATTACTGATAAAATAATGTATTTAAAAAAAAACTACAATACAAATCTCATTAGCTTGTTTATAGGCTTAATCCATATGTAAGAACACATGTACCACTAATACAATTATAAGCATTAAATAGTTAATTTACCATATTCATTATAGAAACTTCATAGTTTATTATGTGTAGGCTTAGCCAATCTGATGAAGCACGTGTCACTATTACAATTATAGAACTAAATAAATAGCTAACTTATTAACTTCATGATAGAAACTTACTAATTTGTTATGTGTAGGTTTTATTCATCTATAGGAATATATGTACAGCAAAACATGTAGAGAAAAATAAATAAATTCAAAATTCCACTAATAACTTCAGACTTCCCACTTCAGCATAAGAGTACACAAATTCATCCCCAGCTGATAACTTCAGGCTATACTAACAAAATTATAAACTACCAGTGATGCAATACACAAAAAATAAAGTTCAACAGTTCAAAAATTACCTGCACAAGATCTTTTCTACCAAATTCAGCTGCCACTGACGCATTTTTTTTACAAATTGTTTGAGTGTCACCACCTAGACTGAAAACATAATCTTTTTAATAAAATACACACACACACACACACATATATATATATATATATATATATATATA